AAAATAAAATAAAATAAAATAAAATGACGTATTAGTCACCCCTTCCATTGCTGGAGCAAAATACCTGCCACACACAAAGGAAGAAAGGTTTATTTGGGCTCATGGTTTCAGAAGCCTCAGTTCATGGTCAGCTGGCTCCAAGGCAGAAACACCATGGTGGAGGGAGCAAGGAAAGCTGCTCACCTCATGGCAGCTGGGAAACAGAGGACAAGGCAAAGCGAGAGAGAGGGAAAGGGGCGAGGGACAGGAACACACTCTTGCCACCTTCTTCACACAGAGCACGGCTCCCAACAGCCACTCGGCCATGAGCTCCTTGATGGACAGAGCCCGCCAGTGAGGCCAGTGCTCCCTCAGTCGCCTCCCAAAAGCCTCGCCTCTGAACACATAAGCCTTTGGGGGCCCACTTTGATGCAAGCCATAAAGATTACGACAATATAAAAGTTACTTAAAACTTAGGAATTGTGTCTTTCTGGATTTTTCATTTCCTATTTCTGGATCTTAGAAGGGCACGGGTCACTTGAAAACCAGGAAGTGAAGCCACAGGTAGAGACAGGTCGAGCTCCCTGGAGGGAAAGTGCCTGCCTGTGGTGACCGGAACACAGGAGCACAGAGGCGGAGAGGCTTACACAGAGGGTTACCTGGGGGGGAAGCAGAAACAAGCTGGTTTAGGGGGACAAACGTCATGAATGAGCCACGGACGTGTTGATTTGAGGTGCTCTGAGAATTCCAAGTGGGGACCTCAAGGTGAGAAATGTCCCCATTTGGCATTGGCAGCATGGTATGGACTCGGAATGAGGGAGGCCTTGGCCATGCAGCCGCTGTAGGTGACAATGGGGCAGGAGGGCAGAGGAGTTAAAACCTGCCGGGGTGTGGGGGGGGGGGATGTAGATCAGTAGCGTGGCGCCTGCCTGGCAAATGCAAGGTCCTGAGCTCGATTCCTGGTACAAACAAACAAAAAACAACAAGAGACCTGACCCAGGGAGAACAGAGGGGCAGGAGGCCTGGACGGGCCCCAGCGCCAGGGGCGGCAGCTCTCGAGAGCCCAGGAAAGAGCAGTCGCGGGGAGTGTGGCACGGCAGGCTGCCGAGAGCGGCGTGGCGGCCTGAGCAGCTGGGAGCCAGGCTGGCGTGGGTGGCGCAGAGGTGAGGACGTGGACACAGCCTTCCAACGTCCCCAAGGCACCGGGAGAGAGGACGGCAGGGTGCCCGCGTGCGTGCGCGTGCATGCGCGTGCATGTGCGTGAGCCTGCCTGGGTGCTGCGCTGCCCCTCGCTGTGTAAAACAACGAGTCTCCTCCACCTTCTGAAGGCCAGGGCCTGTCTGTCTCCGCCTCGCCAGCCCCAGGGCGTGAGGCACCCAGACCCAGGGAGGGGCTCTGGGGTGGTTTTCACTCCGTTCTCTCTCTGCAGAGTCGTCCCAGTAACAGCCAAGGAGCCCCGACTGCGAGCCCCGCCCCAGTGCCCTGCGGGGCAATGAGACCCAGCCGGTGCCACCCGTAGCCGCCTCTGCTCACTTGGCCTGCCCTCCTGGGCCTCGCTCCAGCCATCTCCGTACCCGAGATGCCGCCCCTCGGCCGAGCCATCTGGCGGACACTTCGCGGGTCTTGGAACACTTGGCTCAGGGACCTCCACGGTACAGCCTCTCCTGACTGCTGCCTCCCGAGAGATGGGGCGGCCTCCTGCAGACCACCCCAGGTCGCCCCTGACGCCTCGCTGCGCTCACTGAGCCGTGCACAGGGGCTGCAGACTCGCACGCAGCCCCACACTGCACACAGGAACCCCAGCCCGCTGTGGACAAATCTGCTCCTCCCGAGAGAGAAAAACCCTGATTTTCAAAATGATTTTAAAACTCAGCCAAATTTAAGATTTTAAAGCCATTAGAAGAGCCAAAATCCATCTTCAGTCAGAATTCTCCAAGAGACAGGCGTGAGTTTGCAACCCACCATGTGCCCCTCTCCGCAGGGAGAGTCTGTCTGTCCTCACAGAGGGTGGCCTGGCGTGGTAGGGAGCCCGCACCCTCAGCTTCGTGCCAGAAGTGTGTGCCCTCACTCATGCTCACTCACCCTCAGCCTCCAGGTCCGCCTTTGCCTATTTTCCAGGCAGGAACAATGCCTGCCCAGGGGTGAAGCAACTAGCGTGGGGACGCACAGCTACTAAGTGGCAGAGCTCACTGTCACCTGCTCTGTTTCCTCACACATCCCCCAGGGACTGGAGGCAAGAACGCAGGCTGCGTGACTTTCTCCTGGCTCTCAGGCAAGTGAACGCTGACTGATAACACGGGCACGGCTGAGCCCGGGGTCAGAGTGGGAAGCGGTTAAGACGGGTTCCCTGCTCTCCTGAAGCTCACAGAGGGGCAGATAGAAGCCGGGAGTAAATAAGTATGCAAGTGGCTTCAGACCCACACTGTGGTGGAGGGAGCAGAAGCCAGAGGCCTTGCACACGCACGCACACACATCCCCGGTGCTGCCTCAGCCGAGAGGTGAGCAGCTTTCCCACACACCTGGGCCTCCCGGGTCCGGCCCAACAGGTCTCATTTTCTTCCTCAAACTGTTAAACCCGATCTGAGGACTAATTATTCCAGAAAGCCCCGATCTGCAAATATTTACCCTTCCTTCAACAACTCCCAGCCCTCCCCTTGTGGGGCCTGATTAAGATGCCCTCCTGGGAGACAGCAGCAGGGTGACCCAGGATGGTTTAATCCAGAAGCCTCTCAGAGCTGGGCCGAGCAAGGCTGCTCAGAGACAAGAGCAGGGCCCCCACAAAGCCAGCGCCTGTGTGTGCACTGCCCTCCCCGTGAGAGTGAGCACACACACACACACCAAACCCCTCCGAATCTGCCCAGTTGCTCCCCCAACCCACAGCTCCTGCTTGCAGAGAGGACCCCGCAGGAATAGGCGTTGGGAAGGGACAGTTCAGCACCCTGTCTGTGAGGCCCACAGGGCACCGCCGTGTCCCCAGTGCCCAGGAGGACAGCGTGAGAGGCGGGAGTGGGTGGGTGTCCCCAGGGACATGCGTCCGGAGAACTACTCTGCAGTGCAGCTATGCTGAGAGGAGACTGGACCTGGGAGCTCTGACATCACCCAGAAGACTGCCCCGGTGAGGACTGCATCTGCTGGCATTGCTGGGCAGTGAGGGAGAGAGAGGGCATAGCTGGCTGGGGGGCATGGGCTTGGGGGCTACATCTGGTCCCAGCCCCTTCTTCTTGGGGCCACTGCTTCCTGGCCGCCAAGTCTCACATAAGCAGCTTCCTTCTGCCATGCCCTCTGCCATGCTTTCCTTTTTCTCTTCTCTTCTTTTCTTTTTTCTAGTACTGGGAACTGAATCCAGGGTCTTTACACTGAGCTATATCCCCAACCCTTGTTTTATTTTTTATTTTGAGACAGAGTTTCACCAAGGCACGAGTTGCCCAGGCTGGGCTGGAACTTGTGATCTCCCTGCCTCAGCCTCCTGCCAGCACAGCTGGCTCCACCATGTTTCTGCCTCACCACAGGCCTAATGGAGCCCACTGACCATGGACTGAAACTAGGAGCCAAAATAACCCTTTCCTCCTTTACTCTGATTGTCTCGGGTATTTTGTCACAGCAATGGAACACCTCTCCCTGAGGGAGAGCATGCACCCACCCATAGCATGAACCATCCTAGACTTCTGCTCCGCTCCTGCACTCGGGCCTGCTTCCACCTCCCTGCCCTTGGATCATGAGCCCTGAGCTGCAGTAGCCCTCACCACCATGTGCTGGGAGCCCTGTGTTGGGCAGAGACCAGCGATCAGATCCTACAGGCTGCATGGCACAGTGATTGTGTGGCCTGGGTTAAATCCCTGCTCAAGCACTCGGCAGCCTTGTGCCCTTGGACAATCACTTCACCTCTCTGAGCCTCCACTTCGCATCTGTAGAATGGGACAGCAGTCATGCTGACACCCACAGAGGTGCTGTGGAAGTTATGCGAGTCGCACATGAGGCATGCAGGGGAGTTTCAGCTTCAAGGAGACCCACGGTGGCTGGACTGCCAGCAGCACCTCATGGCACCACCTCAGGCTCCAGCCCAGATGCGGTGAGTGAGCTCGAGCTTTACTCCAGGGTCGACGAGGGCAGGAGCAGCAGAAGGGACAGGAGCTCAGAGCCCTCCGTGTGCCTGGCACTGTGTCTGGCATGCCACGTGTGCATCAAACCAGAGGCTTCCTGAGATTCCAAGGGCTCTGAACTCTCCCACCTCCTGTGGGCAGAGGAAACAGGCACAGAAGGGCTCAGGTCTGGCCCAGGTCGCACAGCAGTGAAGGGACAGAACTGGAAATCTTGCTCGGGGCGGGGGCCCCAAAGTCCTGCTCCTTTCATGGCACCCTGTGCCCCCCAAGGAGCAGGAGACGTCAGGGCGGGGCCTCTGGACCCCTTGCTTTGTGTCCTCACTGTAGCTGCAGGGACACTGGGCACTGCAGACTCCAGCCCTGCTGTGGGGCCCAGCACCCCAGTGCAGAGATCCGTGAGCGCCGAGCTCTTTGGAGGGAAGGCGACAAAAAGGAAAAAATAGAACAGCCCAGCTAAGCTGAAATGTGGAAATGTTCTCCTCTGAGGGGAAGGGAAATAAAATTTGATGAACCTCTGCATAACGTTCACATCGTGAATGTGCAGAGCAATATTCGGCACATATGCTGGCAAGCATTCATCTCAGGCTGGAGCCGCCGGGAGCTGCTGGAACCGGGGCACCGCACAGCCGCTGTCCTCAGTGGGGACAAGCATTCGAGTTTGGTCCCCTTCTGGCTTTCTCACGGTCCAATCACCTAAGACAAAGGCAACCTTGCACCCCACAAACCTTCAGGGCCCCAGAAAGGCCAACACAGTGAGTCAACCCCACCTCCCACTCCCTGCCCCTCTGCCCCGCAGCTCAGCCCCCAGACACCCGCAGGACGTTCCCTCCAGGGTTTTCAAAGGGGCCCTGTGACTTCAGAGGCCAGGCCTTGGGCTTCAGACTCCCAACGGTGGCCAGAGGTGACACCGCATGCACTGACCTCTCCCGGAAGTACTCGATGGCCTCCGGGTCTATGAAGGTCGGCTCCTCCCGGTATCCCTGCTCAAAAACCTTGCGCTTGTGCCGGAACTCAATGACTGTCTTGGTGTAGGAGTTGAGAGTGGTGACAGAAGCTGCCATGCAGCAGGTAAAGGAGCCCCACGCCAGGCTGGGAGAGAGGAGGAGAGAGATGCCACGGTGAGGGCGGTGGAGCCAGGAGATCCCCCAACCACCCAACAGTGACTTGGCCCTGCCCCGCTGCCTGCCTGGGGCCACTGTGAGTACTGCTGCCCTCGAGGACAGAAAGGCTTGGTGGCTGCTCCAGGAACAGATTATCGGGAACAAGGCGCAATCCACACAGCGAGACACTGACATGACAGAGGTCATCATGGAGAGGCAAGAAGACAGCAGGTCATTCCAGCTAAGGGGGCTGGCGTCAACAACTGCTCCAGGGTTGGGCCTGGCAGGGGAGGGAAAGTTGGCCAGGGAAGGGCAGCCCAGGAGAACGGGCCAACATGTGCATGGGCGTGTAGACAGAAGGCAGGAGAGAGCACCCACAGACCACGGGAGGGCGGGTGCTGGAGAAAGGATGAGATTAGTTGGTGATAAAGATGGAGAAGCAGACAGGGCAGCTTGTTTTTCATGAGCATTGCCTTTGTTCACGTGTGACCCTGAATGAGGGTCTTAGCTTCTTCGTCCTACTCCCCAGTCCCTCTCCATGGACAAGCAATGGTGCTGCCTCAGGGCCTTTGCACAGATTGAAGGACATAACCTGTTAAACACCTCTTAGAACATCGCTGGCACATTAGAGGCTCTCCAGAAGGGTTTGCTGTCCTTACTATACTGGCATGCTTACTGCCCGCCTCTCCATGACTCTTCTGGGAGATAAAGTTACAGCCATCTGCCTGGCTGTCTACACAACACTTCTCCACCCCCTGCCCGGGTGAGAATGCCTGGCCGCCCTCACATGATGTGCATGCTGGGCCCAGCACACAGCTGGAGACTGTCTTAACCATTCCTGGAAAGAAGGAAGGTTAGGGGTGGAGCCAGGAGACTCAGCTGGCCCCATTTCAGTTCTGGAATGGCCTCCTCCTGAGGCCTGTGGCCAAGGCTGCACATCCATGACTAGTGCCAGGAGTGAGGTGTCCGCTTGGCTCCAGTTACACCTGGCCTGGTCTCCAGGTCCCTGCTCCCCAGGGACTGTCTCAGTGACTGGTTTCCTCCAAGTCAAGGGCTCAGTTTTGCTACCCCAGCCCTGCACTGCTGAGAGCTCCAGGCCTCCACTCCTGCCAGCCGCCCACACCCCTGCATGCCCTGTGGTTGGGGTGGCCACTCCCTTACCACACTGCTGGTCTCAGTGTCAGCCCCACAGGACCCCAGAAAGAAAGCAAGGGGACATCTGAGGTTTCTGCCTTTCTCAAAGGGATCTTTAATAATCATCTATTTCCTCCAGTGCCAAACCCATTAATAAATTCCCTAGACTCTTTCATGATAAACAGCTCATTTAGAATTTCCAGAAGCCCTCCATGTCTGTAGGGGTGTGTGCCTGGTCCCTCTAAGAACTTTCCTGCCACCAATGTCCAGTGTGTGACTCCCCCATAGATGACTGGATAAAGGCTGGGCATCCAACCAAAGCTCTCTCCTGACCAGTGGAGCTGAACATTCCAACTCCATGTGTTATTCCTCTTTGTACTAGTGTGATGGAAACTCAGACCTTGAAGACAGAGAATGGTAGAACAGACTTATTCTGGGATTCCAGAGTATCTTGGCTTTGGCTGATCAGCAACCATTGTTCTTTCCTTCCAGCATCTACTCACCCCAACCTCTAGGGTGATCACATGACCTGGGCCCAGCCAATGAGAGCACTGCCTCCTCTGGCCATGGTCATTGGTTCAGGAATGGTCATGTGACCCAGGTTAGGCCCAGGGGACTCAATCCCAGGGCTCTGGCTGAAGCCATGGGGAACCAGGATTCATCTGTCTTCTAGGTGTTAAGCTGCTGGCCTTTCAACCAGGAGCTGCTGGGGACCATCTTACCACTATTCAGCCTGAGAACACAGCTGACTCAAGAGAAAGCAGGCCATGAAAGGGGCCAAAGTCTTTATCCCTGCACTTGTCAATCATGGGAGCCCAAGTTCCTCGTTTTGGTTCCCCGGTAAGTCAGTTTGAATCCAGTTTCTGTCATGGGTGACAAAAGTTTGTACACAATTACTTTCTATAACTTCCCTTCTTTTGCATTCACTTTTGGAGTGAATTTCTAGTCTTTTCATGCAGAGATTTTAACCATGACCAAGTCTGACTTCCAGTCCAGCCTGGGGATGGAGAAGGAGGTTCTCAGGCACTCAAACTGGAGATCTGAGCAAAGTGAGAAGTCCTGCAGGAGAGAAGGATGAGCCCTGAGCGAATTAGGATGCAGATGCTGGGGGACCAAGGGTGCCGGTGAGGCCAAGCCCATCCTCAAGGAAGCCCAGAACAAGCTTGCTCCTCCATTCTCCCTCTATCACACTGGTGCAGAGAGGATCCTAGAGTGAACAAGAATGTTCAGCTCCAGTGCGCAGGACAGAATATGTGATGGGACCAGATTTGATGTGTGTGGGGAATTTTCTGGGGAGGATGTGGGTCACTAAATCCCAAGGTTCCCAGAAACAGAGGCTGCAGGGATGGAGCAGAGGCAGACAGGCAACTGCCCGTTGTGTCCAAAGGCAGAGAACATGCACTGCCCTCTCACCTGGCATACAGACAAGACCTGGGCTTCAAATCAACTGTTGCCCTGGCCTCCCAGTTCTAGGCACAGGCCTCCTCCTCCCTCCCAAACACCAAGCTCACCCGGCCCTCCTGCTATGCCAGGACCTTTGGACTTTCTGCTTTCCAGGATTCTCCTGGGTCTTCCCTCAATCCCTGGCAACCATTAGTCTGTTCTTCATTTCTATGAATTTGCCACTTGAGGAATTTTACTACAAGTGGAATCATACAGTATATATGCTTGGGCTCAGCTTTTCTGAACTTAGCATAATTCTCTGGAGAATCATGGAGGTTTGGGGTGTGTGTGTGTGTGTGTGTGTGTGTGTGTGTGTGTGTGTGTGTGTATACTAGCAGTTTGTTTCTTTATATTGCTGAATGGTATTCCTGCCAGCAATATATATATTTCTGCATATCCTCACCAGCATTTGGTGATGTCTCTATTTTTTAATTTTAGCTATTCTGATAGATGTGTAAAAATAGCTCCTTGTGGCCTTAGTTTGAATTTCCCTAATGGCCAATGGTTTTAAACAACTTTTTATTTATTGACTTACTAGCTATATGGCTTCTATGGTGAAATGTCTGTTCCTGTCTTTTGTCCACTCTCTGATCAGATGGTTTTGTTCTTGTTGCTGTTTACTGTTGAATTTTGAGAGTTCTTTATATATACTAGATATTAGTCCTTTGTCAGATAGGTGGCTTGCAAGTATTTTCTCCCAGTATCTAGCTTTTCTTTTTAACTTCTTAATAGGGTCCTTCACAGAACAAAAGTATTTAATTTTGATGAAAATGAATTGATCAAATTTTCAGTTTATACTTTTGACTAATTTGAGTCTGAGAAGCCTTTGTCTAGTCTTAGGTCCCAAAGTTTTTCTATTATATTTTCTAAAAGTTTTGTAGATTTACATTGTAGAATCAGGCTGTGACCCATTTTGAATTAATTTTTCCAAAAAATATGTAGTTTAGATTAAAGCTGATTTCTTTTGTCCATGAGTGTCTAGTAATTTCAGCATCATTTGCTAAAAAAATCAATCCCTCTTTCACTGAATAGGTTTATACATTACTCGAAACTCGGTTGGGCATATTTGTACGGGTCTATTTCTGGGACTTTATTCTGTCCCATCATCTATGTCTCCATCCTTACACTAATATCACGCAATCTGGATTGCTGTAGCTATAGAATAAGTCTTGAAGTTGGGTACAATGATTCATCCCTTTTTATTCTTCTTTTACGAATCTGTTTTAGTTATTCTATTTTCTTTGCCTTTCTATATAAATTTTAACCCTGTGGGATTGCTTTAGGTCTGAGACCTAACAAGTGATTATAGATGTATTATACATTAAAGTCTTTTTTCTTTACCTAACTGTAATTGGCAAAGCATGCTATTTTGCCTCCACTTTGTCCTTCAGACCCACTAAGGTCTAACTATCTAACACATAATATAAAACAATTTATTCCTTATTATGTACTTAGTAAAAAAGCTCTCAAAGTGGGCTTTTATTTAATAATGTCTAATAAACAGGGACTTTATTATTACTTCTACTTCACTACTGTAATAAGTTATAGTGATGGCTGTTATCCAGCTGGACTTCTGCAGAATAGAATAACGAAATCGAAATTGGCAGCCTGAAAACCACTCTTCCTCAAGACATCAGCCCTGAGAGAATTCTGGAACAAACCTGAGCTTGATGCAGTCATGACACAGTCAGAGACTACCACTGGAGTGAAGAACAGTCAAATCCCAGGCCCTTCGCTTCTCCTCAGTAAAAGCATTATTTATGCTGGGTGTGGTGCCACATGCCTGTAATCCCAGCACTCAAGAAGCTGAAGCAGGAAGATTGCTGTGAGTTCAAGACCAGCCTAAACTACATGGCAAGACACTGTCTCAAAAAAAGGCATTATTTGTGGATTTTTTTTCCTGGGAAGACAGGGACTTAAAACCCATTTTTTAAAATATAAAACATGTCTCTTCACCTGGGTCTACAGATGCCCAGCCAAGTGACCAAAAACAACAAGGCTAGGCCTTGACTTTGTACCTGCTATTACTGTACATCTGGGTGAGATCGCCTCTCAGCTCTACATGTAGGTATGTTGGTCATTTAGGGAGTACCTCTGTAGAGGCTGGCAGGACAGGACCGACTCACTCTGAATTTACATGATACCATCCACCTTCAAGACTGAGAACATCAAAACTGTATGTTTACAGGGTCATTTGGCTACAACAAAGTCTCTAGCCATTTTCTGAATGTGCAATCAATTAAATCCCAGGGAAATAGAGGCCCACATGATTGAAACCACCACAAACAGAGACAGTCCTTCCATAGGAATGGAATCACCTATCAGCCATGAGAATTCCAGAGCTAGGAAACCAGTACTCAGACCATTATGAACTGGACCCAGCCCACCAGCTGACCTTTAATGCTGGCCTCC